GGAGGCGGGTCCCGAGGACCAGGCCCAGGAGCCCTGAGCAGAGGCAGCCCCTCCCTACTTCTCGACCCCCTCCCCCGGTGTATTAGGAGCAGGGGCATTTAGGGACCGCCTTGAAAGAGGAAGATGGAGAGACGGGCCTGAGCCAAGGCTCGGGAATGTGTCCACTTTGACGGGAGGTGGGTGGACTCTGTGGGGAGGTGAAGCTGGAAGAACACATGGCGAGGCATAGAGGCGCAGCTACGACCCCAGTGCAGTTCATTTCCTCGGCAGTGGGGGGCTAGGCCAGTTCTCAGTCTTGAGGAAGCATCACCATGACTGAAGGGCTCATTAAAAAAGTCCTAGGTACCACTCTCAACGTTTCATTAGATCTGAAATGGAGCTCAAGGATCACAATTTGAGTCATACATAAGATGTTTAGAATATACCTTATCCTGATAACCTCACTCTGAAGATGGATCAAAGTATGTGTTGGGCACTTTTGCTTTATCTGTAATGTTCAATTTTTTGTTTACAATGAGAATATATTTATCACTTGTGTAGTTACAATCGTTTAAAATTGAATTGGCATGCTGTGCGGTGAGATAAAGGGCTTGGGAACCTGCGCTGGAGGCTGATTAAACTCAGATGTGAAGGCAGACACACATACACCACCCAGCCCACGCTTCCAGCATCTGCATTTTGTGCCAAGCCTTTCTCCACTCCCACCAACCAAATGTGGAGAGTGGGTAAATTTAAGGGATGAGCCCTGGCCGGTTTGGCTCAGTGGACAGAATGCAGCTTGTGGACTGAAGGGTCCCAGGTTTGATTCCGGCCAGGGGCACATGCCCAGGTTGCAGGCTCGAACCCCAGTGGGGGGCATGCAGGAGGCAGCTGATCAATGATTCTCTCTCATCATTGATGTTTCTCTCTCTCCCATCCTCTCTGAAATCAATAAAGACACACACACACACACACACACACACACACACATATATATATATATATATATATATATATATATATATAATTTTTTTTTTAATTAAGGGATGAAAGTTGACTATCTCCATGGTGGTACTGCTGTGCTGGGAGCACTCAGTTCATGGTTAAGAGAACTAGATTGGAGTCATTGCTAAACTGAGCTCCTCTAAGGTCCCTGTGTTCTAGGATCAGCCTCCAGTAAATAAATGAGTGAATATCAAAGCTGATCATAATGCCCAAGGAGGCAAATGCCAGAACTCAGAGGGGAGGCAGGAGTACAGAGGCAGAGGCTGAGTGCAGCCGGTGGCATTCGTCTACGGACTCGATCAGAATGCTGGTTTTGCTATTTTCCTGCTGCGTGACCAAATCTACAATGTGGACAACAGCACCTCTCCATAGCCATTCACTAAGGAAGGTGTGAGTTTTTGCTGGGTTTTCAGGGGGAGGTAGGTAGCCTTGCTCCAGGACAAGAACAGTCATCTGTGAAGACAGTGGAGGCTCCTTAGAACCTACTGGTCCTATTGACAGATGAGGTAGAAGGGATGGAGGGAGAGGAAGATCAATGCCTTGCAGAGCTCAAGTTAGAAAAGGCAAATGAGTGCTTATAGCTTTTTGAATTTGTCTAGTAGGTCTTCTGGTCTTTACTGGAAGCCACCACCCCTCCCTCCCTTCCCACTCCCCAAAAAGAGGAAAGGCAAAGTGTGTAGTGTCGCTCTCAGTAACTATTAAGTTGGTGAATGAAGATTCTCACTGGGTAAGAAGGTGGAGGCTAGGTCTCCCCAGAGCCAATGGTAAGATTTTAGAGCAGCGGTTCTCAACCTGTGGGTCACGACCCCTTTGGCGGTCGAACGACCCTTTCACAGGGGTCGCCTAAGACCATCCTGCATATCAGATATTTACATTACAATAACAGTAGCAACATTAATAATTTTATGGTTGGATGACATAAGGAACTGTATTTAAAGGGCCAGAAGGTTGAGAACCAGTTTTAGAGGTTTGGGTTGATTTATTTTTGTCCTGGTTTTGGGGGCTCCTCTTTCCCAATTGACTGTTCACATAAGTCTGCAAGTTAGCCAAGTTGATGAATCAATTGGATTGTGCACTCATTTGGCTCATAAAATATGTATTTGCACTTTCCATCAACTTTAAATAAATTGGATCAGTCTTCAGGAACTCATTAACTTAGCACATATTTGAGTGTGTGGCGCATGGCCATGCACTTTCCCAGATACTGGAGACACAGCAGGAAACAAATATCTCTGCTCCTCGAGTTGTATTTTGAGGACAAAAAAAGCAAATAAAAAAACTTTATGCCAGGTAAAGGGATGAGAAAAACGGGCAAAGCAGTGTGGAGGGGACTGCAATTTCAAATTGTGATCAGCCTAACCCGGGTGGCTCAACGGTTGAGCATCAGCCCAGGAACCAAGTTGCTGGTTCAATTCCCTTTCAGGGCACATGCCCAGGTATCGGGCTCAATACCCACAGTGGGGTGCGTGCAGGAGGCAGCCAATCAATGATTCTCTCTCAGCGATGTTTTATTAATGGAGAAATACATGCTTCTTTGATTATTTTTTAAAAATATATTTTTATCTCCCTAGCTGGCTTGGCTCAGTGGAGAGCATCAGCCTGCAGACTGAAGGGTCCCAGGTTCGATTCCGGCCAAGGGCACATGCCTGGGTTGCGGGCTCCATCCCCAGTGTGAGGTGTGCAGGAGGCAGCAATCAGTGATTCTCTCTCATCATTGATGTTTCTATCTCTCTCCTTCTCCCTTCCTCTCTGAAATCAATAAAGAAATATATATATATTTTTTAAATATATTTTTTTATTGATTTCAAAGAGGAAGGGAAACATCAATGGTGAATCATTGATTGGCTGCCTCCTGCACGCCCCCTATTGGGAATTGAGTCCGCAACCAGGGCGTGTGTCCTTGAGTCTGGGAATAAGTCCCGCAGGCCAATGCTCTATCCACTGATCCAATTTAAAGTTGATGGAAACTGGCTAGAGCTTGATGTTTCTTTTTAATCCTCACCAGAGGATATTTTCCATTGATTTTTATACAGAGTAGAAAAGAGAGGGATACAGAACTATAGATGTGAGAGATTGGCTGCTTCTCGCACAGCCCCCGACAATGGTCTGAGGGCCAGGGAGGTGCCTGAAACCAAGGTTTGTGCCCTTGACCTGAATCGAATCCAGAACCCTTCGGTCTGCAGGGCTGACCAATGCTCTATCCACTGAGTCAAACTAGCTAGGGCTCTCATCGATGTTTGTCTCTATCCCTCTCTCCCTAAAAATCAATAAAAACTTATTTTTAAAAATTGTGATCAGAGAACTCACTAGACAGAGCAAAGACCTGGAGAAAGTCATGTGGATATCTTAACTGTTCATAAATTAAAGCCAGATGGTAGGCATTATAGAAAAGGGACCAGTCACACTGAGTTCCACAGTAGTAAGGATTTTGAGATGGGAAGCGGTTTTGGTAAAAACCCAATGTTTTAAAATAATCTGATTGCTGGGGTTGCACTGGGGACAGCAGAAGCAGCATTGAGAACGAGTAAGATACAAAAAAGTGACCAGAATGGTCAAGGTGACCTAACAGGTTAAAGCAAGATTTGATATTAGACAAACCTGCTGACATCAAAGTGCAGGTGTCAAGTAGGTCTGTGTTAGCTAAAGTCAGAAAGATAAACACAAACTGCATTTAAATGCTGGTGATAGCCCTACCTGGTTTGGCTCAGTAGATAAGAGCATCAGTTTGCCGACTGAAGGGTAACCAGTTTGATTCTGGTCAAGGGCACATGCCCAAGTTGCGGGCTCGATCCCCAGTAGGGGGCATGCAGGAGGCAGCCAATCAATGATTCTCATAGTTTCTCTCTCTGAACTAAAACATCACTGGCAACCTAATGTACTTTTTAGGGGGAGGGGTTAGGGCTTAAGAGAAAAATAGAACCTGCGCTCAACAATGCAGAAAAAAATTTTTTAAAAATATATTTTATTGATCTTTTACAGAGAGGGACAGAGTCAGAAACATCGACGAGAGAGAAACATCGATCAGCTGCCTCCTGCACACCCCCACTGGGGATGCATCTGCAACCAAGGCACAGGCCCCCGACCGGAATCGAACCCGGGACCCCTCAGTCACCAGGCCGACGCTCTATCCACTGAGCCAAACTGATCAGGGCCAGAAATTTTTTTAGACCACTAAGACATTAAGGGCCCAGTCAGTTACCGGTGACTGACACTATACAGTGGGGCCTTGACTTACGAGTGTCCTGACTTCGAGATATGAGTCGTCTCTCGGCAGATTTTTTGCTTTGAGTTGCGAGCTAAAATTCGGGTTACGAGCCAGCTTCAGATACCCCACCGCTAGTTGGCGCAGCCAACGTCACAGTGAACGCCACAACATCAGCCCAGCATCATGTGTCTCACTCGTTCACAAACGAGTAATTTAAGTTACGAGCTCCGTCACGGAACGAATTGAACTCGTAAATCAAGGCCCCACTGTACTTTCCATCCGGAAGACAAAATAGGCCGGGCGCTTAACATGTTAAACTCAAGGTTCAAGGAGTACAGGATCTCTAAAGGAGCCAACTTTAGAAGCAATATTGCTTCACGTTACTATCACGGTCAACGCATCAATACTGTGGGGGCCTTAGTGCTGTAATACCTCCCTTATACAGTCTTTGCTTGGCCAGCAAGCCACATGTCACTTCCCCCCTGCTACACGTTTTTTAAATCCTTGCCCAAGAACAATTTTTTTCCATTGATTTTTAGAACAAAAGGGAGGGAGGAGGACAGAGGGGAACATCAGTGCAAAAGAGACACATTTTTGATTGGCTGCCTTCTGCATGTTCCCTGACCCAGGCAGGGGATTGAACCTGCAACACAGGTAGGTGCCCTTGACAAGTAATCAGTGTGCAGGTTGAGTCTTTAACCACTGATCGACGTTGCCCAGGGCCCCCTTACTATATTGATGTACAGCCCTCCAGGGAGAAGGATTTAGAGTAATATCGTGCTGATCAAATATTCAGATGTGGACACAGAACCTAGGATAAACACCTTTATTACACGGGCTAAGAGAGAAGGGAAGAGGACTTATTTGCCTTTCCGGGCCTTGATTTTCCTCAGATAGAACTCCAGCTCCTTGCCCTCGAGCACATAGCCATCTGCTCGGCCGCACTGGCCTGGTCTTGAAGCGATGCATGCTGCCAAGAGAGTATGTGGTCCTTAGCAAGAGAGCAATACGGTCTACCCGTAACTATGTGCCCTTAAAAGCATACACTGGTTCAGGCATTGGGGGGCAGGCATGAAACCTGTTGTCTCCTCAGATGTACTTTATCACCACTTAAAGTCAGTAGCAGAACTGGACAAAGTTTTCATCACTGAGACAGTCCCCTTAGCCTGGGCACTCACTTCTCAGAATACTGCTCACTCAGGCCTATGGACCCCTGCCCACCATTTCCGATTTTAGCTCCCCACTGATGGGTTGACCAAATGGTGATTTGTATGCTGCTGTTATTAAACTGTCCTGGTGAACCCTCTAGACCAGGGGTCCTCAAACTACGGCCCGCGGGCCACATGCAAATACAAATATTGTATTTGTTCCCATTTCGTTTTTTTTACTTCAAAATAAGATATGTGCAGTGTGCATAGGAATTTGTTCATTTTTTTTTTTAAATTATAGTCCGGCCCTCCAACGGTCTGAGGGACAGTGAACTGGCCCCCTGTTTAAAAAGTTTGAGGACCCCTGCTGTAGACTACATGGCTGGCAGTCAAAAGGACCGAGGCAAGGGTAAAATGCAGAGGGCACACCATTGCTCGTGACCCACCACCCCAACGCAACAGCCATCTCACCAAGCAGCTTGCCCTGCTGGAACTGCTCCTCAAGAAGACTGCTGATTTTGGCATTCTTTTTCCTCTCATCGTATTTCTTCTGAATTTTCTTTGATCGTTTTTTGTTCAAAATCTCTTCCTCTTCAGGAGTCTGAGTAAAGGAGACAAAGATGGGTTAGCTGGGGGTCCCCAAATTCTAACACGAGGAAGGATTGTCACGGTACCCTTGAACCCCGCACATCCCAACTTCTGCCTTCCTCAGCACTAAAGGCTTTCTTCTCTTTCCATTCAGTAGCAGAACTGGACGGAATTTCATCACAAGAAGGCTGGAATCAATCAGGCCGGCCTCCCCCCACCCTACAGGGAGGTTGGCTCCCCAAACACGCACCAGCTTGGCCCCCTTCTTGCGGCCCAGGGGCAGTGCGTAGTGGGACTCGTACCACTGTCGGTACGGTGTGCTGTCAACCAGCACGATGCAGTTCTTCACTAGGGTCTTGGTGCGGACCAGCTCGTTGTTGGATGCGTTGTAGACAACATCAATAATCCTCGTTTTGCGCGTACAACCTGCTCGCAGGAGAAATTCAGAATCAAGCAGAGCCAACCAAAGGCCAACTGGCCTGGCCCCCCAATCCCAGCCTTAACAGGGCCCGAGGAGAAGCAAGGGAACTCAGCCTTTACCCAGCAGCAGGGCACCAGCTCCCCTTCCCCAAGCCCATCAGTCTCTAGATTCAGCCCCTCCTTGAGCCCACAGGACTGAGCACAGGCTGGAGAGAAAGCTCTCGTTACCACCGCCTTAGGGTCTTTGCAGGAGAAACTTCAGTCCTGGGTGGAGGCCCTGGACCTGCTGCTAAAGGCACTTACTGGAGCTCTTAGAACCACGTCTTAGAAGGAAGGCTGGTGCGAGCCCCCACCCACGCCCGCCGGGCCCCACTCACACTCCGAGCCCCAGGAGAAGTTGCCCACGTCCAGCCTCAGGGCCCGGTACTTCTTGTTGCCGCCGCGCACGCGGACCGTGTGTATGCGGCGGGGTCCAATCTGGGAAACACACGGGGAGATGGGCACTGGGTCAAGAAGGACAGCGGGACGGAGGGGAAGGGGGCCGGCCGGGCGGAGGAACGGTCAGTGTAACTATGACGAGTCCCAGCATCGGCCAGTGGCTCACAGCGGCCAAGACGGCCACGCCAGGCCTAAGGATCCTGTTTTCATCACTCAGTCACCTCCAAGAAAAAAAACACACCTAGAGTCCATTCGACAAACACCGGGTTTCTAACCAGCACGTGCGGAGCCCTTTAACCCGCACACACAGCAGGTCCCGTGCAACCTCTTTAGCATTTACCCAACAGGGAGCGATGACGGGGCCACTCGGCCCAAACGTCACGGAGCCCACCCCGCGGTGCAACAGCCACGTGCAGGCCCGACCGCCCGGGCGGCGAGGCCCCGCACAAACCTTAGTGTTGGCGGCAGGGCGTCCCAGCTCATATTTCCGCTTCTTGTGGTAGGGCTTCCTCTTGCCCCCGGTCTTGCGGCGCTTGTGCCAGTTGTCCCGAGAGATACCTGTTTGGGGGTGTGGGGTGCGGAAGCTTGAACCCCTGGGTCGCGGGGAGCCCTAGAAGCTCCAGACCCCGCGCAGGGCGGGCGGCGCGCTCAGCTCTCCAAGGTTGGCTTCCCCACCGAGATCGGCGTTTCACAGCAGTCCTAGGCTGTCATCATGCGCGCGCCGCCCAGCCTGCACCCTCTCCCGCGGCAGCCATGTTGGTGCCGCTGGCAGCCCCGGCTCGGGCTCCGGCTCGGGCTCTGGCACGGACCCCAGCGCTGGCCTCGGCGGCACAGACCTGAGCACAAACTTCCTCATGGCTGGTCGTTGCCGAGGGTCAGCGCGCCCACCCTCCTAGCTTGGCTGCGAGGCAGGATGGCGCCGGATTGAACGCGCTCCTCTACCGCAGCCCTTAACACAAGCAACACTCACCCATGGCTCGGCGCCGGTACGAAAGAGAAAACGCAAAGAATCACGGTCCGGTTTGTAAAACGTAGTCCCGCCCTAAAACGTAGAAAGTAGCCGGCAGTTACGACGGTTTTGCGACCGCGTCCTACGTACCCCGCAGTTACCACGTGTCTGCGCCCGCACGCGACCTTCCTCCTAAAAGGGGAACCTGAGCTCTGAAGCCCTGGGGAGGGGGCTGGGGAGGGGATTATGGAGGGCCTGGGGCTACGTTTTACAAACCGGACCGTGATTCTTTGCGTTTTTGGGGAGGAGCCTGGGGAGCGGATTGGGGAGGGGGCTGGGGAGGGGGCAGCTGGGGAGGGGCTCCGTGGAGGGGCGCTGGGGAGTACACTAGGGAGGGCCCACTGGGGAAGGGCTCCGGGGAAGGAAG